GAATTTCTGAATTTCTGAATTTCTAAATTTCTGAATTTCTGAATTCCTGAATTTCTGAATTTCTGAATTTCTGAATTTCTGAATTTCTGAGTTTCTGAATTTCTGAATTTCTGAATTTCTGGATTTCTGAATTTCTGAATTTCTGAATTTCTGAATTTCTGAATTTCTGAATTTCTGAATTTCTGAATTTCTGAACTAATGAACTTCGGAATTCACGAATTCTGAATTTCTGAATTTCTGAATTTCTAAATTTCTGAATTTCTGAATTCCTGAATTTCTGAATTTCTGAATTTCTGAATTTCTGAATTTCTGAATTTCTGAAAAAAGAAATCCTAATTCCTGAACTTCAAAGTCTGATTTTGTTATCCTGAAAACTTTCTGAAACTCAAATTCTATACTTTCAGAACTTTACGAAAATTTTGTTTTTTTTTTCTCCTGCTATATTTTTTTTCTGCATCATACCCTCCAAAATCAAATTTCGTAGAAATTTGAATTTCCGACTCCTACTCTTTTCTGACGTCGTCAGAAAAAGGAAGATTTTTGTTTTTTTTTGGAGACGTCAAGAATCTGGAGATCTGAATTCAGAATCTTCAAGAATCTGGGATTCAGAATCTCAGAATCTCAAGGATTCTAAATTTAAATCTTTGTTTCTAAGATTCCTCGATTTCGATGACGTTGAAATTCTTTGAAAAAGACAAAAAAGAAAAGAAGAAAAAAGAGTACATCAAACCTCATTCATCCTTCGATACTTCCGGGAATCCACGGAAGCGATGAGCATCAGAATCGAGAGAATCAGAAGGCGTCGTTGCTTCATCTGGATTCTGAAAAAATTCTAGAATTGGCTTTTTTCTTTTTTCTACTATTTTTATTTTTCGATTTTAATGATGAAAATGGCGAGATTAGAGAAATCTCTTGGGAGTTGTTTCGTTGAAATTGGATTTTTTGTTCTTCTGGAAAAATGGAAATTCAAAGATTTCGAATTTTCTGTCTTCTGATTTGAATCTAATTGAAATTCAATCTTTTTTCTAACCATAAAAGTGGAGAATGCCATTCGAAATCCTACGCAATCGACATTTTTGGACTTTTAAAATTCTAGAATTGGCTAATATTCTGGAATTCCGAGTTTTCTTTTTTTTGTTGATATATTGATTTTAAGAACTTTTTAATTTCTGAATTTCTGAAATTCTAAAAAATCCACATGGTCTAGTTTTCTAAGGATGGGTTTTCTAGACCACCGAAACAAAATCAATAACTTTACGATTGTTTGTTCTTTCCGGCTCGTTTCATACCGATAATAATAGCTCCAACTTTTGTTTTTCATATTGAAATTTGTATTTTCTCCATTATTTTTCTCTCAAATCCATTTTTTTCTAAATTTTTTTCTCAAAACTTTCAATATACCGTAAAGCCTGTATTAGAAGGAACGGCCTATTGTTCTAAGGTAACTCCGAAGGGCCCTTCAATTACGGGGCCTCTTCTATTACAGGGGCCCTTCTATTAGAGGGGCCCTTTTAATACAGGTTTTACGGCACTTTCCGATTTTAGGTCATTTTTCGGGAAAAAATGTTTTCCAGATTTTCAAATTTTATGTTGTCTCTTGGGATTTTTTGGAATCAGAACACATAAGTATATTTTTTTCTTCCTCATCCAAAAAAAATTCGGTACCAAATTCAATTTTAGGATTTTTTCCTCCAAAAAACTTTTAGAATAATTTTTTTATTGAAAAAGTGCAACTTATTTTCAGCAAAAAATCTATTTTGTAAATTTTTGGTGAATTGAAAAAAAAAACAAAAATTCGAATTTAATTGTTTTCTATCAATCGTAAACACTCTAATAGAATGCCACCCAAATCGTCAAATTTGAGCCCATGTATCTAATTTTCTGTGAGAGATATCAAAAAATGGTTACCGTAAAACCTCTAATAGAACGACACCCGGATCGTCCACTTTGAGCCGATATATCTCATTTTCTGTGAAAGATATCAAAAAGTGGCTAACTAGTAAAATGTTGCTGATATCCTGATAAACATTTTACTAGTTAACCACTTTTTGATATCTTTCAAAAGAAGTGAGATGTATAGGCTCAAAGTAGACGATCCGGGTGTCGTTCTATTAGAGGTTTTACGGTAACTAATAAAATGTTGCTGATATCATGATAAATATTTTATCAGTTGATAAATTTTTGCTATCTTTCAAAAGAAGTGAGATATATATTCTCAAATGGACGGTCCGTGTGGCGTTCTATTAGAGAGTTTACGGTATTTCAAATTTTTGGATTTTCAGATATCGATTTTTTAGGAATTTGAACATTTTGAGATTCTAAAAATTCTGAAAAACCCCGAAGCTCCAAATTGAAAAAATTGAAAACTCAGCTACTTTGAAATTTTATGATAATAACTTTGAATTCTGAGAATTTGAGATTTTCGAAAAAAAATTTTAATCAAGTATTACAATAAGCTCAGAAAGTTTCAAATTTTGTTTAAAAATTCAAAAATAGGTATTTCAACATTCAAGTTTTAAGTTTCGAAATTCGAAAAAATCCTTTCAAGAAAACGTAAAAACGGAGATTTTGGTGGAGACCCAAAAAGTTATGATTCGGATCTTTTGTTTATTTTTTTCTTCCCCAAATTTTTTCAAACTTTTCTTCTTCTTTTTCTTCTTTCCCCAACCCATCTCTCCCAGATTTTCCCCAAAATTTTCTGGTCCAAATTTTCTGTCCTTTTTTCCAAACAAAAAGAATTCGACCGAATTTTGCGGAGCCCCGCAAATTCAATAATCTAAATATTTATTTTCGGATCTTTGTTTTGTTTCCATAGATTCTGGTCCCTGGAAAAAACATTTTTTGAAAAAAAAAAAGAAATATAAAAAATGTGTAAAAATTCGAGAAAGAAGTTGTGAAAAATAAGGAATCGTGGGAAAATGGGTGGAAGAAAAAAACATGAATAAATAATTATGATGTCATGAGGAAATATTTTTTTGAAAATGAAAAAAATTTGAAAATTTCAGGAAGTTTGGAACTCAAAAAAATCCAGAAAAGAAATTCAAAATTAAGCCACGAATTTTGATAAATATATAAACGATTTTTGCTATAAAATTTTCAAATTTCAACCTTTCAAACTTTTAAATTTTTGCTGAAATTTTTTGTTCTCTTCTTGGTCAAAGAAGAAAAAATAAGAATTACTAAAATTATAAATTATAAATTAACCATTCACTTTTTTGTAGTCATTGCCCACGCTTTTGTTTGTTCGAAAATAGAAAACTTTAGTTATTAGTTTCAATAAATTATATTTTTAGCTCAAAAATTGGAAAAAAAACCGAACCCCTCTCTAAAGTTTTCAGATTTCTAATTTGAATTTTTTAAAGCTTTAAGTGAATCCATTGCTTCTTTGTTCTTCTATTTCTGTTCATTTACGTCATTCTCCTTTTTTGGTGCAATAAAAATAGCATTAAAAAAGTAGTACAATTCCAAAGTTTCAACTAATTGTATTAGAGAAAAAAGAGAGAGAATTCCCAAAAATCAAGTCCATTTTCACGTTTTTTTTTTGGAGAAACCAGTGTTTTTTTTTTCAAATTCAAATAGAATTTCCTATTTCACATTTTGAAACATTCCGCTTTTTGAATTCTCGAATTTTTCAATTTTTGAATTTTCTAGGTTCGAGACTTTTGCCTTTTTTAAATTTTGAATCTTTGTGGGGGACCCCATGGAGATATTTTTCAAAAATTTTCAAAAAAAAATTTTTTTTTGAAATTGTTCAAAAACTATTCTAGATGATAGAGAAATGTTCAAAAATGAGGTTCGCATTTGAGAACATCATGAAAAACAAGTTTTAAAGCTCGGAAAATGAACATTTTTGGTCAAAATTTAGCACTGAAAACACTTGAGAGCCCATATTTCGATTCCTATTGGATCCGGGGATGAGATATTGCTGAAGCCGTTTTTAGCTTGTTCGAAAGTACCTTTTCACAAATTTTGAGCAAATTCTCAACCCCCGTCTGAAAACACTTCCCTTGTTAGAAGTTCAAAATATCAGAAAACCCAAGTTCGGAATTTAGAAAATTCGGAAATTCATAAACTTTGTGAATCAAAAACTCAGAAATGTGTTTTAGAGAAAATTCTGAAAATCTTTTTGTGTTAAAATTTTGGGAATTTGTGAAGTAGAATCTCAGAAAGTCGGAAATATGGAAACTGTAAAATAAAAAATTTCAGAAATTATGAGTTCTGAAATGAAGTATTTTAATAGAAAAATCTTTGAGTTCTAGAATCGCAGTTCCGAAAATTCAGGACTCCTGAATTTCGAAACTTCTGAAAAAATTATAAGTTGTCAAATTTCAAGATATTCGGGAATTCAGACAAATTATTAGTTCTAAAAATTTGGAAATTTTGAACAGTTCGTGTATCAACTAAGACACATTTCTGATCTACATTTCTGATTTATCTGTCCAAGCCCAAACTCAATCGGTTAAGGGTGTTGTAAGCGGGAGCCAGAAGGTTTAGCCCCCGAAGGCGCATAAGCAGACTGTCACTCCAGTTGATGAAAGTTGACAACACAATCAACTAAAACTTCGTCTTCTGATTCTCTCCGATTTGGAGATTCAAACGTTTTTAGTGAAGCCAGGAGATTGTAGTCGTCGACAGGGGGCGGAAATCGACTTGTCTTTGAATAATTTCAAATTTCTCATTTTCGATTTTCAGGGAATTTCTGAATTTCTGAATTTCTGAATTTCTGAATTTCTGAACACAAATTTGAGAAACTAAACTCCCATTTTCCCTTTTTCGTAATAGTTTCTTCTCAATTTTCTGGAGCAACTTTAAGCCTAAAAACTGCATTTGCAGCTTCACTTTTCTTTGAAATTTTCAAATTTCCCGCAAAGCCACAATCTCCGTTTTCCAGAGTATGGGTAACAACAAAAGAGTCCTGCTGGCCACGTGGCTTCTATCCGTGTTGCTCTCCGCGGTGCTTGCACAATTCGAGCCGCCCGTCTCGGGTGGTCCCCCGGGAAAACCGTGCTCCTCGTCGTTTCATTGCTGGCGAACCGAACCAATTAATGTATTTGGAGAGCCTGTTGGATTATCAACTCAAGGTTTGTTGTAGGGTTGGATGCACTTGACCGATTAGTTAGGTTCTAAAATGATGATGTCAGAATTGGAACAAAACAATGAAATTCCCAAAAAGTTTCAAAGTTCTAGCTCAAGTCGAAGGGCTAGAGACGCAGATGACAAAACACTCTAACTGTCTGCGTCTCTTCTAAACCTCAACAGGCTGTATCTCGGGTTCTAGACAAGCTAGAAAGTTGGTTTTTGGACACATTTGTAGATGATTCGAAATACTTTTCAAAAATAAGATTCAAAGCTCGAACAAGTGTTGAAAACTGCCAAATATTCATCATTATTATTTTTAGATTCTTAGATTCTTCGATTCTAAAAAATCCCCCGAATTCGAAATTTCCTAGAAAATCAGCGAGTTCAAATTTTCTGTCTGACGAATTTCTAATTTTGAAAAAGCCATAATTAGAATTTTCGAAATTTTGACGTAATTTTTGAAAAACTATCCAAGCGAGCACACCAATTATGCTACAACAAAACCATGTCTGGGTTGGGAGACTACGAAAAAAAATTCTGAAATTTTTCTGAAAATATGAAAATCCCTGATATCATAATTTCATGATAACAGAGCCAAAAATATGCTCAATCAACAAAAAACAAAATTTTGGGCGAATTTTACATTTCCTGAAAATTATTATTTAGGAACAAAAATGATGTCAAATCAGGAAATTTGGGTTACTAAAAATGTCAAATATCATAGAAAATAGATTTAGATATCCAAATATTTTTACTTTATGGGAGAAAGTTTTCTAACCCCAAGTCAGAAATTCAGAAATCTAGAATTTTCCGAAAATTCAATTTTTCAGTTATTCGTAAACTTAGAAACACTGGAAAACGAGAGTTCCGGAATTTTATGATTCTGTAAGTCTGAGGAACTTCAGATTTTCTAGTAAACATTTTTTCGAAAAACAGAACATTGGGAAAATTAATAAACAACTGAAAAAATGATGTGAGCCAAAATTTTAAAAACATGGTATATGAAAATGACAGAATGGCTAAGTATTTTATGATCAATTTATTGATCCATTGACATCCTGGACCCTACAAAAAATCTGCGTCTCTCATTTTTCAATACTCTCTCGTCTTTTTCATCTTCACCTACAGTAATCCCAAAGCTTGAGTGCCTTTTTTATGGGTTCGATTAGAAAATTCTACATTTTCTGAAAATTATTTTAAATATCTAAAATTCTGAAATTCAAACATTAGAAGTTTAGTAGTTCAGAAGTTCAAAATCTAAAAATTCTAAAAATGAAAATTTTCAGGATCCCCTCGTCTAAAACGTCTAGAAATCGGCTCATCGTTCTCGAAAGGTGGTCGATGTCGATGCATCGAAGGCATTTGTGCCCAATTCCAACACAGATCTCAATCATTTTTACCGTGCGAAGAATTTTGATGACTTGAGAGATTTTTTGTCCCTTTTGATTGTCTGAAAAATGCCTGAAATTTTTTTTGGTTTTTCTCTGAAAAAATTTGATCCGTTTTTGATAATATTTTTATGAATTGTGTGTTCTCCCGTGTTGTTCAGTTTTTTGTTAAAAGGCTTAATTTCAGAATCTCTTCCTGTTTTCAAATTTTAGGTTTTTCTGTGATTTCCAATGTTTCAGAAAGTTCTCAAACTTTTTGTAAAGTCTCAATTTTGAAAATATGAGTTGTTGGAGTTTCTGAAATTCCGAAATTTCGAATTTTCTAAATTTTTAATTTTCAAAATCCTGTTTTTAGAATCCAGAACCCCGGGGACCCAGGAATCCAGAAAAGCAGGAATGCAGTGACATAGGAACGCAGGAATTCAGTGACCCAGGAACGTAGGGACTCGTGGACCCAGGGACCCAGGGACCCAGGGACCCAGGGACCCAGGGACCCAGGGACCCAGGGACCCAGGGACCCAGGGACCCAGGGACCCAGGGACCCAGGGACCCAGGGACCCAGGGACCCAGGGACCCAGGGACCCAGGGACCCATGGACCCAGGGACCCAGGGACCCAGGGACCCAGGGACCCAGGGATCCAGGGACCCAGGGACCCAGGGACCCAGGGACCCAGGGACCAAGGGACCCAGGGACCGCTGAAATCAGATAAAGCCAAAATTTCTATCCCTTTTGTCAGAAATTGTTGGAAAATCTGGGTTTTTTTTTGAGTCCAGGGACCCAGGAACGCAGGAGTCCAGGAACACAGGGACCCAGGGACCCAGGAATGGTTCTTAACTTTAAAGTTTGTAACTTTTTCAGTTTCTGAATTTTCGTATTTTAGGAATATCTGATCTTTTTAAAATCTGAAATTCAGTTTTTTTAAACTTTTTGAATTTCTGAATTTTACGAGAAGCATTCAATTTCTGATGTCTTCAAAGTTCCCCTGTTCGGATAGGAACAAAATTTCGGAATAATTACTGTTGATTTAAAATTACGAAATCTATAATTATTCGGAAATTCTGACGCTCGAATTTTTTGATTGATCAGAACAACACAAATCACAGATTTAAAAAAACAATTAAAAAGTAACTTCCGCAAATCTAGAAATTCTGAAAGTTTGAACATTTTGAATATGGAAATTTCGGTTCTATCTGTTTTCAGCGGTCCCTAGAGAAAATAACGGTCCCGGGAGAGAATAACGGTCCGGAGCGAAGTTTGCGTTTGGGACTTCAGGAAAACCCCATAAATCCTGTTTTAGAACCCAGAACACCCGGGGACCCAGGAATCCAGGAACGCAGGAATGCAGTGACCTAGGAACGCAGGAATTCAATGACCCAGGAACGCAGGAGTCCAGGGACCCAGGAACGCAGGGACTCGTGGACCCAGGGACCCAGGGACCCAGGGACCCAGGGACCCAGGGACCGCTGAAATCAGATAAAGCCAAAATTTCTATCCCTTTTGTCAGAAATTGTTGGAAAATCTGGGTTTTTTCATACTCTTATGTGACATATTGTGCTCATAATTCCAACCTAATCAGATTTTTTTTTCTCCTGAAACTCAATTTTTCATTGGATATTACAATTCTTGGCAATCTGACTTCTGTTCAAAAAATTGAATTTTCCGGAAAATTTGATGATAAAAATGTTAGGGTGCATTTAAATTATGCTTGATTTCGTCATCATGAAAGATCTGAAAAAAGTAAACTTCGGAAAAAAAGTTTGTGACTAAATTGTAGTCGTGGTCTTGTAAACAGAAAATTTCACGAGTTTTCAGGAGCTCAGAAGTTCAAAATTCAAAAAACCTGAATTTCTGAATTTCTGAATTTCTGAATTTCTGAATTTCTGAATTTCTGAATTTCTGAATTTCTGAATTTCTGAATTTCTGAATTTCTGAATTTCTGAATTTCTGAATTTCTGAATTTCTGAATTTCTGTATTTCTGAATTTCTGAATTTCTGAATTTCTGAATTTCTGAATTTCTGAATTTCTGAATTTCTGAATTTCTGAATTTCTGAATTCCTGAATTCCTGAATTTCTGAATTTCTGAATTTCTGAATTTCTGAATTTCTGAATTCCTGAATTCCTGAATTTCTGAATTTCTGAATTTCTGAATTTCTGAATTTACGAATTTCTGAATTTCTGAATTTCTGAATTTCTGAATTTCTGAATTTCTGAATTTCTGAATTCCTGAATTCCTGAATTTCTGAATTTCTGAATTTCTGAATTTCTGAATTTACGAATTTCTGAATTTCTGAATTTCTGAATTTCTGAATTTTTAAATTTCTGAATTTCTGAATTTTTA